TGCCCTTTGCTCCCTCCACCTCCATCGCAGCATCTTCTCATCCATGGATTGAGAAGGACAGCGGCGTCAAGACACTGCAGCTGTGTTCACCTCTCCTCCCAAACACCAGCACAGGATCATCCCACCCCACTCCCCAAAAGATCTACCTTTACTCTCTGTTTGTCCTCTTTTTCATTAGTACTGTCTGAGATAAGATGAAGCCAGGGAAGAGGGCAAGAACAAAAGCAGAGGCGGGGCGTGGCGGGGGCGGCAGGGATAAGAAAGAAGGGTAACAGTGGACTCTGTGCTTTATGTGCTGTCAGAAGTATGGAGAGCTTCCTGGCCATTTGCTTGGCTTCTAGAAGAATCTTGGGGCAGTGTTAGAATCTGCAGGGCTGGTGGTAGTGCATGTGTTTTGCCAGTCTGGGGGGATTCTGGTCAGTTAGGTAGCATTGATGGTCCCTGGATTCCCCTGTGGATTTGGACCCTCACATGCTCCTTGGAACTCGGTTGATTTGGCTTCCTCTTGGGGTTCCTAACACTGAACCTTCAGTGGGATGTGGGAGAAAAGCAATCGTGTGGGCAGAGCCCTGGAAGGGCCCTCCAAGCATAAATGGAGAGGCTCTTTCCCCAACTTCCAAGCTAAACTAGTTTGTGGTGGCCAATATTCCTGTTAGATATCTACTGGCCTATGACACTGTAAAGAGTGCAGGTGGCATAGGGAGGGCAGTGCCCGGCCGGGCCTAGGTGCTGGGTGACCACTGGAAAGAAGAATGGTGTTTCTTGTGGGAGCTCTTAAGCCCGGGATTCTCTCCAGCTCTCAGAGGGCTGCCTGGTGGCCTCCAGCCAGCAGCTACAGCAGAGGCAGAAGCTGTATGAACAGTGGAAAGAGCCAGGGTTCAAATCCTTATTCTTCTTACGAGATTTGCCCTTGGCCAAGTTTTCCCATCCGTCCAAGCTTTAGTTTCCTCGGTTGTAAAACTGGAGTAAGTAAGATTGGCTTTCTCTGGAGAGATATAGAGCGCAGGGTTAAAGGCTAAAGGCCCTGGCTGTGTCCCTGCTCTTCCACCGCATGCAGGGACAGTGTCCCTCTCTACCCAGAATAATTTTGAGGTTTTGCTCGGCCAACCATCCGACTTCCTTGTGACTTAGTGGGAATCTGTTACAAATCCCTTACGCTTGCATGACACTTTATAGACTCTTCCCTGAAAACATCCCCCAAGCCGCCCACACCTTGGGTGGAGCCTGAGTTCTTCCCCTTGGCTATTGCCCATTCACTCAGGGCCCGTGCTCTCTCCGAGCTGCCTCTGTTTGAGGCCTGCTACGCCTTGCTCCCCAACCCGGCTCCCTCCCACCTCCATCCTCAGTTTCCTAGCTGCAGCTCCCTCCAGGTTGAGTGGCAGCACAGGTGCAGACTGGGGCCTGCTTTCCATAACCTGCTGCTGCTGTGGAACCACACAGTCGTTTGCAGAAAATAAACTAGTTGCCAACATTTGTAAATTCAAGAGATTGCATGTAAGCATGCGGATGGTCAGCCCCACTTGAAAGCGTGGATGTGCTGCTGACGCTGGGCTGGCGTTTCAGCATGGAGTTCTGGACTGGAGCCTGGGAGGCTGCTGCTTCCTTTATTTAACACAGCGGTTCTCAACCTTCCTAATGCTGCCACCCTTTCATACAGTTTCTCATGTTGTGGTGACCCCCCCAACCATAAAAGTATTTTCATTGCTACTTCATCACTGTCACTTTGCTACTGTGATGAATCGGGCGACCCCTGTGAAAGGGTCATTTGACTCCCCAAAGGGGTCGCCACCCCCAGGTTGAGAACCGCTGCTCTAACAGGCACATTCTCCCTAGCCACCTGCAAAGCCTGCTGCCTGTGTGTAGGCCCCCTGCCTGGAGCCCGGGAAGCAGCTCGCTTTAGAACATGACCCTTCTTGTTCTCATACCTTCCGTACTGCCTCCTGCAGTGAGTGTAAGCTCCCCCACCTGCCATTTCACAGTGTCCAGCAATGATTTTTGAGAACCGCTAAGATGTTCACAAGGTGGTGGTGCCTGACCACATCTACCCCAGCTCAGCAGTGGGACTCCGGAAGCTGCAGTGAACAAGGTCCTCGGTAATTCTAATACACATGGTCTAGGAATGGGCCATTAGCAACACAAGGATAGGATGTCCCCACATCCTTTCGGGCTTTCCTTCGCTGCAACTCCAGAACTCCTAGAGGGGTTTGATGGGTCCAGGTGGGGTCAGATACTTTTTGTCACCACCACCTGAAAAATGACAGCTCCTGGGTGGGTGGGGGGGGGGGATCTTGTGGGACCAAGGAAGAGAAGTTCCTAGCAGAGAGGTGCTGGAGCGGTGACTTTTCGCTGGTCTCAGTTGTCGCTTCGGCCTGTCGCAGCTTGTCCTGTCACCACCTGCACTGGTAATTCAAGAAAGGAGGTACTGCTTATCAATTAGCTGCCTCCCCCCAAAATTTCCTCATACTGGACGAGGCACAGATGTACAAATATCTTATGCGGTTGAAGCCTGTTGAAGGTTATGTTCTAATGCAAACAACTGTGAAGGGCAGACAATGAAAACGCAGTGTTCTTTTCAGTCCTGACTTCCAGGCTCCTGTTCCTCTTCAGGGACCTTATCTCTAGTCCCCTTTCCGCTCTCAATGAGAATAAGGACCTGTCGAGAACAGTCTGGAGGCCACATCTGACCTTGTCTGGCGGCACAAGGGAGGAGGCGAGTCTGACAGTACACCATCCCAAGGCTGATTAGCCACACGGCAGAGGCTAGATATGCCTCCACCCTCCCTCTTTCTTTGACCTTGTTCTGATACTAACGGCCCCTCCTGCGGCACTCAACTTCTCTGCTGGGTTCGCTAATCCACTGCCATGGCCACACAGAACTCACAGACAATCCTCACCATGATGCGAATTTTTTAGGATCCAGTCATTGGAACTCGGTAGCGCCTCTTCTCAGCCAGCAGCCAAGTCTCTCTCTGGTCCTCAGTTCCACAATCCCGGGCCTCTTGCTCTGTGTGCCAAGAAGCCTGCCTGCCGCTCGCTTCTCACGGGCTCAGCGGAGCCCCTCCTCCACTCTGCCCCATGGTCTGCACGCCGCCATCACCTCTGCCACCTCCGCTGCTTCCGTCAGGGATCTCGTGAGATGTGCTCTGCTGGTGGCTCTTTCTTGGTGGTTCCAGGAATTCACTCTTTCCCTGTTTCTGAGATGGCTTTCTTAAAAGAGTGGCCAAACTGACCAGCCCTCCCGTGAGAGCCTCTACCTTTTATTTGCATCGTCCCACCTAATCCTGTGGTGGGAGTTCTAGAGCTATAGATAGAAGAGGCTTATTTAAGCAATTTCGTATTCTGATACCAGCTTAACCACGCCTGTCTATTGAGACAAGACCAGATCTTTATACTTCCATGAGGAGTGGTGTACTCTTCATGGTACCTTTTTTCCTAACATATCTCATTGCGCATATCATTTCCTTCAATATGTTGATTTGATATTATGTATTCACTAAAACCCTTGAGTTAAGCAAGAAGAATGTTACTACTCATGCTGTAGCTGCCGTCAAGTCGGTTCCAACCGAAGAGAACACCGCACAGGGCCGGGCCTGCGCCATCCTCCCGATTGTCCTGGGTTGGAGGCCACGGCTGCGGCCACTGTGTAGTCCATCTTGTCCAGGGCCTTCCTCCTTCTGCTGCCCCTCTCCTTTGCCAAGCACGATGTCCTTCTCCAGGGACCGGTCTCTCCTGACAACGTAGCCAAGGTGCATGAGACACAGTCGCACCATCCTTGCCTCTAAGGAGCAAGGCTGCACTTCTTCCCAGCTCCTTACCGTGTTAGTTTTAAATCTTACTTATCCTCATTAAGAAGACGATGGAACTGATGTGATAAAGGGTTCTCATCTAAGAGGCAGGGCCAGAAGCCAAGCCCCTCCTGGTTTCCCAGCCAGTGTGCTTTGCTGTACGTGTGCAGTTGTTTAGAATTGGCTGTATATCACAGCGGTCAAGACCAGGAATCAAATCCTTGACTTACCACATGGGATCTCTAAAAATAAAGATCCCTGGTGGTGTAATGGTGAAGTGCTGGGCAGCTAACCCAGAGGTCACCTGTTCGAGCCCACCAGTTGCGCTGAAGGAAAAAAAGTGGCAATCTGCTTCTGTGAAGATTTAGCCTTGAGCCCCAGGGGGTCGCTCTACTCTGTCTCTACGGTTGCTGTCAGTGGGACTCGAGTTGACAGCAGCTGATTGTTTTTTCTTTCATTTTTCGTTTTTCAGTAAGTGAAAGGTTCCGGAAGTCTTCCTCAGAGCTGGGTAGCGAGTCCCCTCCAAACCTGTAGGGAGTTTAAGTCTCTGCGCCACCACCGTGTACTTTCGAGAGGCCCTGCTGGTAGCCCTGTGTTATCACTGCGTGCCAAAACGAGCCAGGAAGGTGTCTGGGGTGCAAGTTTAGTGACAATGAACAGGAAGTGCGTCGGGTGTTTGCAGAAAGCAGCTGCTCTCCAGTCCTCACTTCCAAAGTTCAAGTTTTGTGCCATTACACAATGTCACCCGCCATGGACTTCTCATTTCCTGCCAAGCGAGTCCTGGGCCCAGCACACAGGTCCCTTCCCATGTCCCAGACTTGCCTCTTCTCCATCTGAAGCAGCAGGGGCAAAGCCGCCGGGGCAACGCTTTGTTCTGTCCCACACGGGCCCCAGGAGTCCCGGTGGACTTGTTGCCGGCTAACTGAAATAGCAACGTCTTCATCGCAGATGAATGTTGGGAGTTTGCACGAACAAGGTGAAAGCAGTCAGGGTTTTGTACTCTCTTTAAAGGCAAACGCAAACTTTAGCAGTAGCTTCACAGACGCACACCTTATTTGCCAAGAATGCCCGTCTTGTGTTCCTTTGTGCCCTTTGTTCCCCTAGTGTAGAAAGATAAGTGATTCGCATAAGTGGCTATTTCGTTCTTGAAGAGGGCAGGTGCTGTAAGTGAGGTCCTGCTTTGAACACAGATTAACTTTCTACTCTCCTTTTTAGGGTTACGTGATCATCAATAATCATGAGCAACCCATTCACCCGCATTGCTGAGCCATTAGACCCTGCACAACCGGGAAAGAAATTCTTCAATTTGAACAAATTAGAAGACTCAAGATATGGTAGGTGCATGACTCTATAATGTAATTGCTTCTGACGGCATTTGGAACCTCATTTGCATTATCATTAAGTTGTGTAATTAATTAGACCCTAAAAGAGATGGAAAAATAAGTAGAAATGTAGGGTTTTTATTACAGGACTGAGCCTGGGTTAGGAAACCAGCTGTGCCAGAGAACAGCTTAATGTTCATGAGTTAAGCATACAAGCTCACAATGTATGTTTATGTGTATTGAACATTTATATAATACTCCAGGATAGGAAGTATTTACGTTTATAGATTATGTCATTTAATCTAGAAGACAGCCCTATGGCGTCTTGTATAAAATATGAGAATACCCAGAGAATACCGGAATACTTGTATAAAATATGAGACCCAGAAGATTAACGTGCTCACATAACAATAAACTATCTCAATCCACCCCTTGCCAACCTGGCACCTGTACACAATTCTTTAGCCATATGTACATATATAATTTACGGACATTGAAGAAATCACACTTATACTTATCATCAATCATCTATTATACAGATAAATGAAAACACAGTCCAATTGTATCTGATATATCATACCTGAATGAAGGAAAGATATGCAATAAACACATAAAAAGAAAATACATTGACAATTACAAACCTCTCATTTGCCATTGATCACGTGGTCGTAATTGATAGGTAGAACTACCTTCTACAACTACCCATTCTGTATTACCTTTGCCCTCAGCAAGCACCTCAGCTGGCTGGTTTTTTGCCTGGTGGGGTGACCCAGACCTTCATTCCTGAGGGGTTTGGGTCATTATAAGTCCTGTCAGGATTGGGTTGCTGTAATTTACCATTTACTGTAATCACAGGGCATGGTAGCACTAAGAGTCGGCCAATTGTTTCTAAGGGCTCAATATCCTCCTCTTCTGGATCATCAGCCCATATGTTCCCATCCCATGTTTCCGGGTCCCAACTTTT